GTGTTTGTTGTTATTGTGTTCCAACCTTGAGATTCATTATGTTGTTTTTGTTGAGCTTGTTTATCATAAAGCCTGTATTATTTTTGAGGTCTATGGCCAGGGACAATGTGAATGGATAACTCACAATGCTTTCTACCCTCACGCTGCACGAGGGGAGTTTTCTTATACCTTGTCTTTATACATTCTGTGTATTTATATTGAATTAGTTGACTAAACTAAATGTTCTTATGTTGCTGTTTTTTGCCATTTTGTTACAGGTGAAGCGAAATTCAAGATAATAAAGAACATGGTTTCTGACACAGTCACCAGAAACTGTGACTAACTGTTCCTGGATATTGAACAATAATGTTACCATTATGAGGATAACATAGTATGGTCAGTGTAGCCAGGTATCACACTGTTTCAAATCAAACACCTTGATTTTGATATTTGCAACAATATGGTTCACTACGTGTTTTAGCAAAAAACAACAAATTCTACTTTGTAGTTCCTTCTGTGTAATTTGTGTGTAATTCTTTTTTTTATGTCCAGTTGTATTGGGAAGAGAGTGCAGGTTAATATAAGTGTGGTTGCTGTACAAACTATTTTGTCCGGTGCCTTGCTCAAGGCAGGAGGTGAACTGGGACCTCTCCAAGTAGCAGTCCACACTCCATATTTAGGTCTGGTCGGGGACTTGAACCGGCGACCCTACGGCTCACAACCCCTACTGACTGAGCCACTGCCGGACATATAACCTGTTAATTAAGTGCTTTTTTTAATCAAACAATAATATTAATTGACTTGGACAGCTATCAGCCAGCTATCTCTCATGGAAAAAAGTCATTTTAGAGCCAACATATCAATCGTTTAACATGGTTAACATTTTGCCATTCCCTGTCAAGCAAAAAAACACAACTGGATATTATGAAAGAAAATACTCTATGAATTATATTAGTCTCAACAGTGACATTATGGAAATTACTGAGTCCTATCACAGTTCCTCAGCAGGCCATGATGAAATATGTCACATGATGCATCTCTAACTCTGTTTGTCAAGACAATATGTTTGTTTTCCTTTTCCCATGTGTGCCTACAGCTGATATTTTGAGTTCTCTTTTGGAAGTATTACTGCTCTGCTAATAATAATAATAATAATACATTACATTTATATAGTGCTTTTCCTGGTGCTCAAAGCGCTTTACAAGCAAGTAAATAACAAAGAAAATAACAGCAAAAGTAAAAAGTGCTAAACTAGGTGGAATAAGGGCGAGGGGTTAGGAGGAGTTAAAGGCAAGAGTGAATCGTGAGTTTTGAGGGATTGTTTGAATGGTGTACTTATTTACTTTTTATAAATATGTGATAATAAAATACACATCTGTATGATAACAGAATCAAAGCGATTTTGTTGCAAATAAAGAAGCGACATTATAACATTGTCCAGTGAGTGTAAACTAAGGTCAAAATGGGATTTGTGAGGAGGGACTATTTCTTCAGCAGGAAATAGTTCCAATCAAACCTGCAGAGAGAGGAGTACGGATATTTTTAACTTGTTTCTATTCTCTTTATTTTTATATTTAGGATACTTCGTCTGTGTTAGCTTTGAAGTATGGGTTCAAAATTCATACTTGACTTTAGAATCCATAGAATAATATCACCTCAAAATCAGATTTAAAACTTTTAGGGACAAAAATATGAATCCACAATAGTGGTACTTTTCAGACTTTAATGGTGCGGCTTCTCAAACAATAATTAAATGATTATTTACGTCATTAGAGTTAATAACTGTTCTTTCAGCATTAAACTCCGGGAGAATAATGTCCCTCTTTTTGAAGATGTAATGATTTCACTTACCCGCTAGATGGCGGTGTTTAGCTGAATCTGTTTGACTAGTCTGGGCACCAACAATAGAGAAAGGTGTCTTCTATAATAGCAGAGGACAATGAGAATGTTTCAAAGAACCAGACAGCCTACATCTCTAACACTCTTTATTCACCATCACCAAAGGAAATGTTTGATATTGTTATAAAAGAAAGGCCAGTGTGTTGGGAGTACTGACAGTGAAGGCCTCACAGTCCTAGGCTAACATCACATAATAGTTAAGATGACAATGAACATGATACAGCAGTGTGGTTGTTGTACACTTTTCTAACAATGAACAAAGCGTTAAAACTCACAGCACAGCTCTGTGTTCTGCAGCATTCAACATTTGATTTATCCAGCGTGTGTAAAAAACAAAATACACTATTCTTTCAGAAAGCTGCTTTTTTGTGAGGTGCTTGACTATTATATTTAGCCATTATTAATTATTAAAGAACTCATCTTATCCCTTTGGCAACTTAGAGGTTAAAAAAGGAAAACTAATGCAAAGTGGTGACGCCTACTGTATGCATGCATTGCATGTTAGTTTCCCCTATTCATATTGAGTCACCAGTCTACATTTATCAACCAAGGTTTTATGGTGATATTTATTTGTATTTGTTTTATTCACCTGTAGCATTGTTAGACATATGTTGCAGTGAGTAAGCAGTACAATCCATTCTGAAGTGCTTCCAGTTATCCAGAGCACTCAGACCTGTTGTGGAGAAAATGACTGGAAGCATTTGATTTGAGACCTGCAGTGGAATCAGTGTTTAAGAAGTTTCATGTTAACCCTGAGGGTACTGAGGGTACTGAGGGTAAAGTATCTGAGAGATAACCGGATCAAGTTGCATTGAGTCCATTTTATTAAAGCCCCAAAGTAAAGTTCACAATATCATGGTTTGTCAGGGTCTTTCTTGCCCGTCTTGATTTATGCTCGGAGATTCCTCTGGGTGTGTGAGGAGCTTCACAAACACACCAACGCAAGAAGAACTTCCTCTGCACAGATGGGTTTAGGAAGCTCCTCATCATCGTCGTTGTTGTTGCAAATTAGCCAGTTGTTGACTACTAGTGCATACAAAACAATGTTATTTCTTACTTTGTGGACTTTAGCACCACCTTGTCCTGTCTTCAGTCTTCCTCCGATCAGTCACAGTTAGGTCTTCTTCTTCTGTCATCATGGAAACTTTGGGTGTCCTGCAGTATCAGTGAGTCTCGGGCATCCACGTCGTCTTGTTGGCCTGTTGCACATAACCCTAAAGAAAAAGACTACAGGCTCTTCTGTAAACCAATAGTGAAAGTGCACAACAATTTAAGTGTGAAAACTCCTTAGATGTTAAAGGAAATATTTTAGATGTATTAAGAAGCAAACTTGTACTATAGCCTGTATGAAAGGATTTTTGCTTTCACAAGTTATTGAATATATTACCTTCTGTTGAATTATAGCTGTGAAATAGGCTTTTTACCATAAATGCTGTGTAACAAATGCGCCAGCAACCAAACATACTCTGTTTGCCTGCAATCCTGTGTGCCATGATGACATGGCACTTGTGTTAGGCTTCACTTTTCCCCAAACTTGTTGCTCCAAAACACACCAATCAATCAAACAGGAGACTTCTGTTGGAGTTCTAACTGTAACGTAATAATTAGATCCTCTACAGGAGGAAGACCTGCTGATTTACAGGCAGTTAACAACTTCAGCCAACCAAATGAATAAAGACCCTCAATTGGACCTTAAAGAGCAACTTGCAGGTTAGAGACACCAGTGAATAAATGTGTAGGAAAATGATGAATACACTAGATTTTCCCAAAAATATACAGAATTATAAAACGGACAAGTCAAATCAAGCAATCTGATTGGTTCTTAGCCGTGATATACTGAGCGTATACCACGGGTAGAATTGTAAATTACTTTTCACAACAAGTCAGTATCCCTCCGCGTCTGCGCAAAAAAAGTATACCGTTGGGCTGAGTTTGCTTTTCATACTGGAACAAGAAAGCAGCGGAGAAGTAACGGGGCAGAAGCTGGGCAGAAGCCCTCCTTTTTGACGCAGCGGTCCAGACATAGACATCAAACGGCAAAACATATTCAGTGTGCAGTTCCTTTGGCATTATGGCAGGGATATCTAGATACTTTTGAAGGTTTAACATAAGGAATTGTGCAACTTTTAAAGCAAGCAACGATGTTTTCAAATCTGTAATCAAAGAGGTCCGCAAAAACGCTATCGACCAATCAGATTGCTTGATTTGACTTGTCAGTTTTATAAATATATTTAAATTTCTTCCGTTACGAAACAAACTTACAAAGCATAAAATGGAAACATTTAAGATTAACTTCGACCTCCGGGGGGGTCTTACTATAGTATGGAGGAGTGGATTGAGCAGTGCCTATCTCCAGAAAAAAAAAGCACCTAAACTACGACATGCAGAGCTACGTGAAGAGCAGGTAGACCAACTGGAAAAGCATACGTGGAATACATTACGACCTTCACAACTCCTATAATTATTGGTGTCCCAATGGAATGCAATTATACTACTTGACATAATCACTTGTACACTCCTTTTTTTGGAAGTACAGAGGAATAAAATTTCTTACGTTGTAAAACGTGAAAACACAGTTGATTGGAAAGCTCAAAGAATGGAAAAATACTTGTACGCAAGTCATACTAGATACAACTAATTGTTAATTTATTTTTTTTTCCTACGTGATTGTTCTAAAGTTAATTACATAATCATAATAATTCGTGATTTTACATTGTTCTCAAATAAAACATCACTAAGGAATGTTTCATTACACACGGTGTTTTGGGGGACACTAAAAGGATAAACGGTGAANACATATTGCGCCGAGGCTTCGGAGCGTGTGTCGAGTAACCCCCGAAGCTTGTGACGTCACTGGCCCAAAACGATACAAGCCTCGATACAAGCTTCACAAAAAGCTTCGGGGGTTACTCGACACACGCTCCGAAGCCTCGGCGCAATATGTAACATCACTACTGTATATATCAACAGTAGAATTACATATATCTATAGAGTATCTAAAGAAGGCAGAATATAAAAAATACTAAATATTTTATACAATATACATTTTAAAAAGTGTGCAAGTGGTTGCAGTTTTCTAAAAGTTTAAATGAAATAAAAAATGTGGCGGCAGTAAGGTTATCTCACTGATGATATTCTTTGAATCATGTTTCAGATTAAAATGCCAAAGAGGAGCAAAGAGAAGCCGGTGAAGAGACGGAGCAGCGAGGAGGAGCTGCTCCCTAAACAGAGCAGGGTCGAGCACAGCCCCACCCGCTCCCCCCTGAGCTTCCTCAGCCCCAGCAGCCTGTTTGAGAGCCTCATCCAGCCCATGGGGCCGGAGCAGTTCTTCAGCGAGTACTGGGAGAAGAAGCCCCTCCACCTGCAGAGGTCTGACCCCACCACAGCCCCCTACTACCAGTCTCTGTTCCAGCTCTCCGACCTGCAGAGCCTCTGTTCCAACGACCTCGAATACTACACGGACGTCAACGTGGTTCGCTGCATCAACGGCAAGAAAAAAGATCTCAACAAGCAGGGGAAAGTTAAGAGCAGCGTCCTCAACAAGAGCTTTACTCAGAATAAGGCCACCATCCAGTTCCACCAGCCGCAGAGGTTCAAGGTGAGCAGCTTCCAGCAGAGAGGAAGGCATGGCTTTATGTCTTGTGCAGACTTTAATGATGCTACTGCTAATGTTAGTCCATCAATAAGGAACCCATTTCTTAAAGCTGCATGAAACAACTAACTGTTCTAACTTCCGATGGATTGAGACGACCAAAGCAGCAACTTCTTGTGGAATATTAGAGATTTGTTTGGGGTTTATCCCAGATATAGATGTGGATGTGAAGTGTCAGATCAGACAGTTGAGTGATGGTCTGTCAGCAGCGGCCCTCACCTTGTTTTCACCTGTGTGTTGTCAGGATGAGCTGTGGAAGATTCAGGAGAAGCTGGAGTGTTTCTTCGGAGGCTTGGTGGGATCAAACGTCTACATCACACCTCAGGAGTCACAGGGCCTCCCAGCTCACTATGATGACGTTGAGGTACACACTCTGAATTCAGCAGCAGAAAGCCAGCTTGTGTAAAAAGCAAACTTTATTCCCCAAAGTATACAGGGCGGGGGGGGAGTGCTAGTGGACTAAATGGCGGATAAACTGTGGCACGCTTACACTAATAATGCGCCGCATTTGCGCTTCACAGGAGGAGGTGAGGCCCCCCTGCTCTACACTAACCTAAGCAATTGATGATACGATTGAACGTGTGAATAGGAACAGAATGCACCGTCTCAGTAACTACATTTCCCTCTACATAACCTGATGGGCTGCTCTTTGTCCAGGTGTTCATCCTGCAGCTGGAGGGACAGAAGAACTGGCTCCTCTACAACCCCACCGTTCCTCTGGCAGCAGAGTACTGCGTGGAGTCAGAGGAGAGGATCGGCAGCCCCTCACATGAAATTACACTGAAGGTAAAGATATATACATCTATATTTTCTTATTTGAAAAGGTACGGTGAACATTTGATGTAAACCATCAAAAACATGTGCCACATTTAGCCATGGAGGCACGTGTTCATCTGCAGTCCCTTGGTTCCCTTTCTGACATCAAAGTAATCCATACAAAAGCACATAAGCTCACATATGAAAACATATACTGTATGCACAATAGATGCAAATCAATGCAGACCCTTAAGCACAAAAAAGACACACAAGCACGATTAAAAGCTAATAGATGCAGACATTAAGAAAAACAATGATATAACAGCAATGAATGAGTTGAAAGATGTTACGTTCCTTCTATATTTACAATATATGTATTCTAACACAACATATGAACAAAATAACGTGTTGCTGTAAAAACAGAGTCACATGTGTCTGTCTGTCTGAGTCGTCTCCTCCCTCCCCAGGCAGGAGATCTTCTGTACTTCCCCAGAGGAACCATCCATCAGGCCAGCACACCAGCGGGGGGGGGGCACTCCACCCACCTGACCCTCAGCACCTATCAGAGAATGTATGAGCGCTCCTACTCTTTTACATCGGGTCAACCAGAGGTGGAAGTAGTACTAACAGTAGTATTACTACAGTGTTAAAATACGCTATTACTTGTAAAAGTCCAACATTCAGAATCATAATCCAGTAAAAGTACACAAGGATTAGCATCAAAATATATTTATAGTACTCATTATGTAGTTGGCCGATTTCAGTTGAATTCATATTAAACTATTGTTTCTCTTCTCTTCATGTGTACATCCTTTTAATGAGAGCTCATATTAATAACTTTATGTACTGCCGGGTAGTTTAATGTTAAATACTATCTCATTACTTATTAGTTTATTCATATTCCGTTTAATTCCGATAAATAAGAATATAAGTTAGTAACTAGTGCTGTAACTAATACTGTAAAATAAATGAAGTGGAGGTTAAAGCACAACATTTAGTACAGTTATGTGAAAGTACTTAAGTACCTCAAAGTTTTACACAAGTACAGTACTTGAGTAAATGTCCTTGATTTACATTCCACCACTGATGTCGGCACAGTTGATGTGTGTTTGTCAGCGTTTAGAAACCAACACGCATTACTGTCGTTACACACGTAAAACACAAGGAAAGCGTATAATGTGCAATTGGTCAACCAGTGCACATAAGACATGTTTAGCATCTCAGTTAAGAAGAACTCGCTGTGTATTTCTCCCCCTTTGATGTGGCTGAAAACACTGTCTCTCACCTTTCTTCTTCCCCCGCTGTCCTCTCCTCAGGTCGTGGGGAGATCTGCTGCTGGACGTGTTTCCCAGTGTGCTGTCGGACCGCAGCAAGAGGGAAGTCAGCCTGAGAGGAGGGATGCCCAGAAGATTCTTACTGGTAAAACTGATGGTTTGGATTACTGTGACACAACAATTAAGTATCTGTGGTGGCGTTTGAATCTTTGTCTACAATTTAATAGCCACCTCTATCGGGGTTGTGGGTTTTCACGCGCCTCTCTTTGTTTCCAAACAAATTAGCTGAGAACGTGGTTGAATCAGATGAGCTTTATTCGTTAGTCCAGACGGCATATAAACAGCAGGACACATTTCTTCGCTTCATACTAAATCAAAGTTAACAGTGTCCAAAAGAACAAAAAGAACACGGTCAAAAGACTTTTCCCGCTTCCCCGTCTCATCAACCCCAGCTGTGTCCTATCAATCTACCATATATAGGCATATAGCCATGCACGTGATACTGACGCACATAACAAATAATAAGTGAGCCTTAAATTAATACATTTGAAAACCATAGTATGACTCACAAAAATACCTTTAGACGGTGAGTTTAATCTAATTTATATTATCATCAAGCCTAACTATCAGACAATAATAACTCAATGAAAATTGCTCCAACAGTATCATTTATTAAGATGACAGGGTCTACCTAATGTTAGTTAGCCACAGATTAACAGACTCAAAACTAAGATTTGTAGATTATTTCAATTGGATTGAAAGATAATGTTATGTATGATCTAACTTGGAAAACACACCTGTTGCTGTTTTTAATTGTAATTAGGGCTGCAGGTGTGGTAAATAAATGCATGATAAATGCTAGGTGAATTCAGAGTTTTTTTTTAACTTTAATTAACATCAATTCTGAATTATTAAGCGTCTGAAGTTTCTATCCTGTTGATAACCCCATACAGCTTGGCCAGTGCTGTGTTGTTGTCAGAGTGCAGGAGAACATATACTGCTGTCAGCACAGCCAATGTCACAAACCCTCGGCAGATAGAAAGGCCGGCATCCGATCATGATAGGGATGGGAATTCAAGAGCCGGATCATTTGCCTCGGCTCAAACGGCCCAAACGGCTCATTTGACCACATATACCTTTTATAATTCAATCAAATGTAGCCCTGTTTTGACTCATGATTTACATGTGTACACCAGGGTTTCCGCTAGGATTTTTTCTCGCTGGTCAAATGTCCGAACAGAATTAATTTTATCGGACAAATTTGAAACTTACCGGTCATGTTTCAATAATAATAATAAGAATTGTGTAGCAGAGTTTCCGTTAGCAGGTAATTTCCGGACTATGACCGGATATGCTGATGTTTAAAACTCAGTTAATGGTGCTCATTTTTATATTGCTTCAGTTTATAATCCTAACATCCTAATCGAAAAGTTCAGATTCATTTTTCAATAAATGATTACACAAACAACATAATTATTACATTCAAACAAACTACTTGTAGTAGATGAAGTACATTATTCAAAAGTTTACATTAACTTTGAATAATAACACGGGAGAAACGGATCCTCTCTTTTCCTCTCTCCCTCTCTCTCTCTCTCTGTCTCTCTCTCTCCCTCCCTCTTTCTCTCTCTCTCTCTCTCTCTCTCTCTCTCTCTCCCTCCCTCTCTCTCCTGACAGCCGGTCAGTTTCTCATGCAGCTCGCTAAACAGTGGGCGGAGCTTCAGGGGATCATGCAGAGCTGCGTGTCTCCGTCAGACTCAGCAGCTGATCTGATCTCTCTCTCGCGTCCGGTTACACTTCACTCGCGTTTATGTCCATATCGATCAGATCTAGCTCTCCTGATCTGCCTTTATAGAGNTCGTTTGTTCCAGATATTTGGAGCATAATAACTGAACAATGCTTTTCCATGTTTAGTTCTGACTCTGGGGACAGAAAGCTGACCAGTCCCTGAAGACCTGAGAGATCTGCATGGTTCATAATTTAGCAGAAGATATTACCCGTCCCCTTGTGTGTTATGTAGCTTTTTCTGCATGTAAACACCCTCGAAGTACACCCTGTAGCGAGTAAAACTCTAACACAGAAAATACCTGTCTATGCTGCCCCAGAACGCCTCGTTGGAGATTTCTCTTTTTCCATTGTTTGCTTCCTGGGTTCTTTGACGTGTGAACACCCAAATCAACAACAAATGACCGGATTGGCCCAAATGGACTAATCCGCGGAGCACCTCTCAAACCAGGATCCCTTGGCTAACTAACAGGGAGTCCCATTGACTTGCATAGCGCTCCCTGAACGCTGGTAATAGACGAGTTGGGATCGCGGAGAAATGCTCTCCGCAGACCCATTCTCACAGCTTTATAAACCTTTTTCTTACTCAATATCAACCCACACTTATTTTTTTTACTTCGGCTGTGAGGGAGGGGGGGGGGCAGGAGCTCCAACAAGCCGTTTAGGACAGAGAGTGAATACACATACTATACAGAGATGCTGTATTAGAAACCAATGTGAGTTTGGAAAATTGCACAATATAAATCTATTTTAGTAGACCTCAACAATGGAATTATGATCAGTAGAAATGGCCATGACATGGGAGCTTTAAATTAATTTCCCTGCCGAAGTACCTAGTGAAGTACAATAAGATACTTGTACCATACTTGAGTATGTCCAGTTGATGCTACTTTGTACTTCTACTACAAAAAGCTATTTAAAAAGCAATTTGTATTATTTTGACTCCCCTTCATTCATTTCACAACATTAATTACTAGTTACTTTGCAGGTTAATTATAGTAATACAACAATATAAATCATCAGTAATTAAGTACATCTACTCAAGTATTGTACTTAATTACCTTTTTTGAAATCTTTGTATCTCCACATCTCACTTAAACACATGATATGCTGATATGTTATAATGCAGTCGACACAGTATTTTCTGTATCAATGCTAAAATGCTCTTACATGTATTTGTTAGTAATGAAAACCGGATCATATAATAACCATAATAATAAAAAACTGTGAAAAAAAGATTCTGCATAACGAGTACATTTACTTTCATACTTTAAGTACGTTTGGGTGATAATACTTCTATACTTTATATTATTCTGAAATGGGTCATTGTGCAGAATAAGTACTTTTACTTTTTGTACTTTAAGTATATTTTGATGCTGATACTTTTGTACTTTTACTCAAGTAAAACATTTTAAATCAGGACTTTCACTTGTAGTGGAGTATTTTCAAACCATAGTATTATACTTTTACTTAAGTAAAGGTTCTGAGTATTTCTTCCAACACTGTGTTTTAGGGTGGATTTAAATACATGGCAGCACAAAAAGTCATTCAAGTCAAATGTACCTATAGCTGCAAAATTTAAATGTTTGATAATTAATTAAATCACTGATCAAATATATATTATTCCAAAAATGGCCATTCTGCATAACTAGTTTTTGTACTTCAAGTATATTTTGATGCTTATACTTTTGTACTGTTTTTATATTTACAAAAAATGCAGTACTTTACCTTTATTAAAGGTATTTATTTATACAATGCATTTTTTATTAAGTAAAATATCTAAGTACCTCTTCCACCTCTGCAGATTGATTAATGAGACATTTTTGTTTCAGTCAGGTCATAAAGGAAGGTGGTTACTATGTAAAGAAAAACATGTCTAAAGTTTGGGTCACTAAAAATCCTGCACTCTCTAATTTAGCCATTACCAAAACCTCCCTTCTTGGTGATTTATACCTTGTTACAAAACCATGCAAATCTGTCAGTACTGATGTCATGACATGTCTAACAGTTTCCTCCACAGAGGAATGTCAGTATACTTCCTCGCCTCCCTATACTCGCATTATGGTATGAATCACTTTTTTTACAAGATAGTATTAACAGTAGGACCTGCAGACTGAAGTCATTGCTAAATAGGAGTGAGTTTATTGCAGTGGTATTAAACTCTACAATTGAAACATATGATCATGTTGAAGTTAATGTCACCAAAAAGTTACCCCCTAAAAACAAAACGACAGCGGCGTAAATCCATAGTGCATTCCTCTGAGAGGGAGTCAGTCATTACGCCGGGTTATCATTACAGGCTCCATTTGGAGTGTTGGAACATGTGGTCAAGGTTAACTGTCTGTAGGCTAGTTCCCACACAACCCTCAGCAGTTACAGGCTGCCCTCTGACCGAGGGAGCGTCACACTATACTCAGGAGAAATGAGCCCAGTACGTTCAGGACACTCTCTTAAATGGACGTGTGAGAAGTGTCGATCGACAGTTGTCAGTGGTTAGATGGATGAAGAATCGATTGGAAGAACAAATCAGGGTACCGGGAAAAACCTGAACAAAGAATGCTTGAATATGAGTTAATTTTTTTAAATTGACTGCATTAATATAGCACTTTCCTAGTCTGCGTCCACATAAACCCATTCATACAGAGGCAGCCATGCAAGCAGTGGTGTAAAGTAACTAAGTAGAGTTACTCAAGTAGGCCTACTGTACTTGATTACAATTTTGAGGGACTTGTACTTTTCAAGACTCAAGTTTACTTATCAATACTAAACCAAAATGTAATTATACCTCCTTTGAAAGCCTTGTTTTTAGTCTTACGCATTCGACCTGGAAAACTTTGCAGCCAATCTTATTTGTTACAGTGTACCGTGCACCAGTTTTTATCAACTTTGGTACTTAAAACAGATAAAGTAATTATCGTAGGTGACTTTAATATTCATGTTGACGATGATAAAAATAGCCTTACTGTTGCATTTAACTCTATATTAGATTATATTGGTTTCTGTCAGAGTGTAAATAAACCAACCCACTGCTATAATCACACTCTCGACCTTGTTCTGACTTATGGTATTGAAATTGAGCAACTATTAGTCGAACCGCATAATCCTGCTTTATCCGACCATTTCTTAGTAACTTTTGAAGTACTGTTACTAGACTACAAAGCATTAGTCAAAAGCTCCTGCAGCAGAAACCTATCTGTTAGTGCTATAGCCACATTTAAGGAAGAGATTCCACCAATACTTAACTCGATAGCATGTCTGCAGGTAAGGGAGGAGACTTATACAAAATGTACACCACCCCAAATTGATCATGTTGTTGATAGTGCTACAGATGCGCTGCAAATAAAATTAGACTCTGTTGCTCCTTTGAAAAAGAAGAACATAAAACAACATAGATTAGCTCCATGGCATAATGCCGAAACCCGCAAAATAAAGCAAAAGTCGAGACAACTTGAAAGGATATGGCGTTCCACTAAACTTGAAGAATCTCGTTTAAGTTGGCATATTACTCTCAATGAATATAAGAAAGCACTGCGTAAAGCGAGAGCAGCTTACTACTCTTCATTAATAGATGAGAATAAGAATAATGCAAGATTTCTTTTCAGCACTGTAGCCAGGCTGACAGAGAGCCACAGCTCGACTGAGCCTTCTATTCCCATAGCACTCAGTAGTAATGATTTCATGTGCTTTTTTAACGATATGATTGTTACTCTTAGAAACAAAATTAATCAAATTAATAACGTATACTGTAGTGTTATCAACCGCTCCCGGAAATTAGGTTTAGTATGTTGCCTAAGGACACTGAGACATGTAGACTGCAGGGGCTGGGGATCAAACCTCTGACCCTCCTTTTCTCAGTGCAGTCAGCTGAGAAAATGAAAGGCCTTGTTATAGTGGGCTACTACTATTGACTAATTTATCTCTATTAATACACATAAAGCTTACATGTAATATATGATGCAACACAACCCTTACCCTAATCCAATTGTCTTTATTTTGTAAGTGTGGGATTCTTTTATTCCCTCACAGCCACTCAAAACATGTTTTTACACAGTTGTTATTGAGTGTTAGTCACGTGTCTGTATCGAGACATTTTCCTGAACTTTATTCACTTTTTAAACTACAAACTCAGCTCTTCTTAAAAAATACACTGCCGAGGAATGTTGGTAAAACGAAGAAAGAGTGCGAATAATGACTCAATACAATTAACAGTGATGCCAACTGCAACAACATTTAACATTTAAGTCCCCAACAAAAACCCAGTTTTTGGACCGTCAACAACTTGTTACAGTCGACCGTAACCAAAATCTACCAACTGGCTCCTCTTGTTAGAGAAGAAATGGTGTTGGGTATCACCTTGGAGGACATGAAAAGTGATTTATCATTGAACAGCCTAATACTTCAGGCTGAAAATGCACACATCTAAATGTAGGAAAGTGAAACCTGTTCTGTCATTAAAAGGTATCTTTTATAGTATTTAACTCTTGTCTGTTGTCTCTATGAGTTTATATTTCAGTTAAACGAGATTAGTTGATGACCTCTTACATTTCTTTGTTTATGTTACATTTTACCTGCCAAGAGGCTAGCGGTTTATACATTTTTGCTGGCTCTGCCATATTCACATTTTGCGTTTTTAACACAGATTTTTTACTCTGTGCCTATCAAATAAACAAATAAAGAATTAAATAAATAAATGTTTCTGTCAAGGGATGAACAGTTTTCAGTCAGAGATCACAATGTATATATTATACTTGACAGAAAGAGCTGTAGTAGATGCGGATAATTTGTTTAATGCAGGCACACAGTACATTATATTTGCTGAACAAGAGTTTGTATAGAGTACAAGATGTTGTGCAACGGAGGAAAAGAGGCTAGAAGGGACCTGACATCAAGACTTGTGCTCTCAATTGCAGAAACAAAGATTTACTGAAGATTTGGATCTAAATGGAGCAGCTGTTGAACTAATTAGCATTGCTATTAAGAATAAAAATGACTTTCCACTCCCGGAGGTGTGACATCTTTATTCAGGGCGAGCCATTAATAAGACAGAGAGAAATATTTATTATTTATAAAGATCAACAGATGTGGATTTAATGTGGTTTGCTATAGCACCTCCAGCAGGCTCTCGCTCCACAGAGCCAGCACCAGACTGCACTTCTCCTCCGCTGTGGGCAGCTGCAGCTGATCCACAGTCAGCTGCTCCGCCTTCTGCAGCTGCAGCAGCGCTTGCAGGTGGGACAGGGGGAACTGCAGGCCCTGCACACACACAACACAAAAGTCACACTCATCAAGGACGGTGCATTGCCAGTACAGTACTATAGCTTAAAGACAGGGTGCTGCATCTATTAGCACAGAATAAGACAGTGTAACCCCCCACCCCCCACCCTTTACAAATGTCAGAGTCAACTTTATTGTCAATTCCTCTATTTTTCTAATACAGACAGGGGGGTCGAAATTGTGCTTCTCACCATCCCAGAGAATACAAATATATACAAAGAAAAATATACATATGCATACATACCTTTCTAAATACACTGAAAGGTGTTTGTTTTTACATAATATTAGCCTGTATCTAAGATAAGAGTAACCTTAGCAACAGGGATGCAGTCAAAGTGAACATTTAACTACAACAGTGAGTGGCTTAAACATTTATTTTAACACTTTTGGAGAGAAAGACTTACATCAAAAGATTGCAACGGTAAAAGAGAAGCTGCAAGAAGTGATCAGTCCCTCTGAAATGTTGTATCACATGAGAAGTATAGAGAGCATGCAGCTATCCTTTAAAGAAGTGAAGGACGGAACAGCTGAGTCACAGCTTACCCTGGAAATGTCCTCTTCCTCTTCTTCATCACCACTTTCACCCATCATGTGGTTCTCCCTCTGGTTCTTCAAAGAATGTAAGACAAAGACTACCATCTCTGAGGCCTCATCCTGAAACACACACACACACACACACACAGCTGAGCATGTCATTGAATCCAATCTGTTGTGTTATCAGGATGTCAGACTGCTGGTGGACTTACCGTTCTCTCCTGGCTGGGCTCCACTGTTATCACCATGTGGTCTTTGTGCATCAGACATACTGTATCCTCCAGGGCAGGAATCCTTCCAGCTGTGACACACACACACACACACACACACACACACACACACACACACACACACACACACACACACACACACACACACACACACACACACACACACACACAATTCTATAAAAGCGCACACAGTACACAGTCCACTGTCTATTACAGCTGTCAAATGAATTACTTCATTGCAGTTAATTAATGATTTACAAAATAACACTTTAAAATGTAACGCAAATAATCGCATAACACATCAGGTAATGTTTATTTTATGTTAGTGTTCCCTGGTATACTCCTAAAATCCACCAAATGTAATCTCGAACTGCCAGCTTAAAGGGGCCCTATTCTGCTCATTTCCAGGTTCATATTAGTGCCTCTCCTGTGACATGTCTCCAGGCTCTAGTGTTCAAAAAGCTCTTTATTGTTGTCATACTGCCTGTGCTGCAGCACCTCTTTTCACCCTCTGTCTGAAACCAGAGCCCACTCTGATTGGTTAGCTGGCTGGCTCTGTTGTGATTGGTTAACTGCTCAGAGGTCCCGCCCCGTAGCCTATTATGCACAATGTGTTTGAGCGCTGGCCAATAGAAGCCCGATTTGTACATACTGATGTCACTATGTTACAGAAGTAAACAAAGCAAAACCATTTTTTTGTATCTTTAATACTTTGGTATGCATGCTTTAGGTAACATTAAGCTGTCTTTGGCTCTTTTCTGCTGTAACAATGTAAATGTCCCCTCTGTGGGATTAATAAAGGTATTCTGATTCTGAAAGGAGTTCAAGGGAGGCGTTTCAGGCAGAGAGGGGGTGGGGGGGAGTGGGAGAGAAACTGCATCGGGAAGGACATTTGGGATTTTAGCCTTTGCAGACCATTCACATGCAGGAAGAGGGAAAACCTCAAAAAGCATAATAGAGCCTCTTTAAGGGCTGTCCAAGAACACTGCTTAAAGTTTGTAATAAAGTGATCTTCTAAATTATCAATGTTAAGTGTGTTTTAATTATTGTGAAAAGCGCTGTATTAAAAAAGGGTTATAAATATTATAATAACTGTATGTTGTTGCATGTTAAACCATTAACTTAATTCATTTAATAATGTATTTGATTCAGTGTATGATGTAATTAATCTCATACATTTCTAGAATAAATCCATTGACAACACTAGATTGAACATGAGCTCACATGGTGTCAGCAGGTCCTCCTGGCTGTGGGGGGGCAGTCTGTTCATGATGAAGTCTCTCTTCATGTGGGTGGAGCGAACCTCCTGCTTCCCCGTTTCTATTTCCTCAGCCAGAGACCTGAGCAGAGAGGCCATCTGCCTGCTGGTGTCCTGTCCTGCCCCATCACCCTGCAGACAGAAAATATCAATACATCTTCATATCTTGTAGTTTTAGACAGGTCATTAAAAGCCATGAAAATGGCTGATGTTTGCAAAGAAGGCACTATTTCATGACAACACGACTCCCCAATCACAGCACGTTGCCGTGATTTGCATACCAAGCTGCTCCGATCCTACGGCTATAACTCCACGAGAGAGGGCGTGTTAGAGCCAGGATATCAACACAAAGGGAAGGCCCAACAAATGGACAGGCGTCCCACTATAAAATCATTGGGACTGTTATTTACGAGCGTATCATTGTATTTGAGTTGGCATGATAACACAGATAGTAAAAATACAAGCACCGCCTATCAGAACGTTACTCTGCAGTGCCAGCAGTTGTCAACACTCCCCTGAACACAGACCAGAGTCATTACCATGGGAATTCATTTTATTGCTGTATTCCACAAAACATCATAATGTATTCAAATAGGGCTGTCAACGCTAAGGCTCGCATTTCATCTGGAAACACAAATGAATCACAACACTACATTTGTCCCGAAGTTGCTCCCGTAATACTAGTGAGGATTTTGACCATGCGAAAAGGCAAAGATGTAGTTCTACATGTTCTGCACTGAGTGGAAACTCAGTGTTACGGCACAGCTGATCCAGACAGGCTCTCCACTGCAGGAGCAGATAGAGCTGCAGTGTGACAGCAGCTCAGATAACACACGGTGTGGAACACATCATGCAGAGAGAGGGGAGTCCCAGCTGTGACAGCGGCTTTGTCCATGCTTTAGGGAAATTGTCGGACTTAACAAGCACTTTATCAGGTGCTCAAAGATTACAATTTGAAGATGGCGCAATGATCCCGGACTCTGCCATTGTCTCTCTATTTTTCACCAGGACCGGACTGTCAACTCGGGGAGGAGTAAGGGAGGAGGTGTGTGCTTTATGGTGAACAATAACTGGTGCTCGGACTGTTCTCCTCATGTAGCTCATGATCTAGTGATGTGTCTGTCACGAACGAGCCGGCTTGTCGTTTTTTATGATTAGAGACGGTTGGATGCTGCTGTTTTAAACACTGCAATATATTTATTTTCACTATGTTATTTATTTATGATTATCTTTAGGCTCAGCAAAGATTTGATGTCAGCTGTTGCTGTCTTTTTTTCTTTAGTTAATACTGAAATAGAGCCCTGCTGTTTTGTCAAGGCTTTTTCTTTAAATACAATTTTAAATGTCGATACAGTAGCCCCTTTTTTTAATTGTCTATGCTTTAGTTCTGTTTTGTGTAACGTGATTCTACAAGCAAGTCAGTGCATTCATTGGTATCAGAGAGGTACAAGGGTCTGTAAATGCAATGAAAACAATTGGCCACAGCAAATCATTTATATTAAACATGTAATTTTTACTTTTGAAAAATTCAGTACAAAGAATGTATAATTTAAGTGATATATGTGTACACATATAAATCATCAGGGCTACATTTGATTGAATTATGAAAGGTATAATGTGGTAAACTGAAGAGCCGTTAGGGAGCCGAAAGAGCCGGCTCTTCTTGGTGAGCCGAGCCAAATGATCCGGCTCACCAAGAAGAGCCAGAATTCCCATCACTAGTGCAGACCGGGGGTAACGCTGCCTTTCCTCTGCATCCCCGGGCTGATGGGTAATCACTCCCAAATGAGTGAGGGAACAGAGACGAGGCATTTGAGTCCTGCAGAATTTCTTCGTTAATATCAGTGTCTCTAAAACACATGTTGGCGACTGAAAGACATCCAGTGTTTGGTCTTTTCCTGAAGCATCCTTCACCTACAGTNTTTGGTTGAAAGCAATACTATTAAAGGGCCCATGTCATGCTTTTCCGGTTATTACCCGCCCCCTTGTGTGTTATGAAGGTTTTTCTGCATGCAAACCTGGCAGGTTTGCATGCAGAAAAACCTTCATAACACACAAGGGGGCGGGTAATAACCGGAAAAGCATGACATGGGCCCTTTAATAGTATTGCTTTCAACCAAACTGATACAGTTATGTGGAATTTGTGGACATAAAACTAAACATTTAATTAAAGTCAACCATTTTAGTTTTTTAAGTGAAGGTAATGAAGTGAAAGTAGCTGTAACAGAAAATGAAAATAATTTAGTGCTCTTACTTTCTTCCCCTCAAACCAGCATGTATTCTCTGTATTTGTATGCTTTCTGAGGCCTTTACAAATTTCACTTGACATGTGACTGTTTCCTTTGGTGTGCTGCCCAGCAGATATCTGTCCACACTCTTATCTTTACTGCTTGTTGTACAGTTTGTGAGTAAGACATGAAGCATTTAAGAATCATTTGAACATTATCACACAAAAAAAGTGTCAGTTTGATCTGAGGAGTATTCAGGTTTAGTAAGAGCTGTTATCATCTGTCAACATGTACCGCAGAGACAAGTGAGAGAGTGTCTACATCTCAGATTCTGTCCAACAGGTTAGAAAAAAATCAAAACAGCCAGGCTACTGACACAACAATTGTGAATCATTCTGTCTGAAATTACTGGCAATTACGTGTCGTTGGCTGCTGTAATCCCTTTCTGCATGCACGGCAGCTATAAAACTCAGTTGTTGGGTTGCAACAGCGCCCCAGGTATTTGAGCACGCACTGCTCAGCACTGAAAGTTTTATTCACAGACTATCTGTCACAGCCACGGCCATTAATCATAGAGGTGTGCTGAAGTTTGTTCTGCAGCATTAGAGATTTTTCCAGGAGTTTGATTTATAGGAGGGGAACAACTAGTAAAGTTGGTGGTTGCTCATAACAAAAATGATATTGTGATCAAGGCAAATTCAGTTAATGACACTAGGATACAGTGATCAGTGATCTCTGTATTTATTCATCTGTATAATTTGTCATATTGTTTGTTAAACGTCCCATGTCATGCTTTTCTGGTTATTACCCGTCCCCTTGTGTGTTATGAAGGTGTTTCTGCATGTAAACGGTCTGCAGAGTCACAAACCCTCGAAGTACACCCTGTAGCGAGTAAAACTCTAACACAGAAAATACCTGTCTATGCTGCCCCAGAACGCCTCGTTGGAGGTTTCTCTTTTTCCATTGTTTTCTTCCTGGGTACAGTGACGTACCCATACCCAAACGGACCAATCCGTGGAGCCATTACGTTACGTCCGTGGAGCCGTTAGGTTTCCTCACACACACTCAATCTTTTCTCAGTTGCAGCGCCGCCGATCTTTCCTCCCTGAGACGGCGGGACGCGGCGAGGCTGTGAGTCGGTGTGTGAGCACACACACAAACTCCCAGCCAGGCTGCGGGTGTGTGTGTTCGGGCTGGTTTCGGGCTAGGTGTTGCTGTGTCTCGCTGTCTCGCAGACGGCCACTGGGCTCACAGGGAGGGGGGGGGCAGGAGCTCCAACAAGTCGTTTGGGACAGAGTGAATACACATACTTTACAGAGATGCTGTATGAGAAACCAATGTGATTTTGGACAATTGCACAATATAAATCTATTTTAGTAGACCTCAACAATGGAATTATGATCAGTAGAAATGGCCATGACATGGGACCTTTAAATTGGACCTATTTAAAAGTAATAGTATTGCTTTCAACTAACTTACAGTTGTGTGAAACCTGTTGACATAATACATTTAATTCAAGTCAATGTTTCAGTGTTCTAGAGACAAATATTTTTCTTTTTACTCTACTATATTTATTAAATGGCAACAGTTAAGTCAATTTATAAAATAAAGTGCGTTGTTAAAAGCTACTACGCTATATAGACAATTATTCAAATGAGCAATTAAAGCTGTGACATTAAAATGCTGCTCAGGTGTTAATGTGTCTGCAATAATTGAATATGTATTTTAAGACAACACTCTGAAAGTATAGTGGGTAGAGTCTGTAGTGAATTTTCTGATATAAATATGGACTTTTACTTCAGAAAACATTTGAATTAAGGAGTTGTTCCTCTCTTCATTATACATTTATTTAATTATCTTTGCATTTAAATCATTACTAGATCATTATCTTCAAGTAAACATTAGTAGCAATTATTTAACAAATACATTTAAAGGATAGGGTCATACTGGTATTTCTGGCACTGTAAATAAACATATTTCAATTTCATTAAAAATAAAAGTTAAAATTCCTTTTTTGACGAAGAAAGCAACAGTTATTTATTTGCAATAAAAGAGATTTGAGTATTGCAAATAAAATAACCGCCATGAATGACCACAGATTGGTAGTGTGCTTGATAAAACTGATTTATACTGACATTAACTTTCTAAGGGATTGTGCTGGGACAAATAGTGGAGCGGCAGGGATAACCACAAGCCTTTTGTTTTTTCTGACTGCAGGCTTTTTATTGAGGTGAGAAAATTCCATGGCAGACACCAAAAACATGCATTAACATACCACTGCAAAGCCAAGGTTAGCAGACCTGGACCTTGCTCACTTATTACCCCTAACTACCCCTTTGGAAATATACATCTATAACGTTAGGCACACAGACCTGTAATAACAAGCGGCTAACAACCAGTCATTATGGGGGGTTGAGCAGGAGATTTACAAATCCTAGGTTCAGTGGCGGTGGACGGGTTCCCTTTGCTTGAAAATGGTTATTCCACCAAGGGCATGGCGAGCTGCGTGATAAAATCTAGTGATTTATTCCCGGCGGCTGATAATTACTGGCGTCTTGTCACCTGTCAGAAATGAATGGACGGGGAGAGTCCGAGGTTGTAGTCTTCATGCTCTTTACACCGCAGCAGTAAATCTGACATGTTTGTGAAGCCGTAAATCACGGCCTGTGATAAAGCCTACTCTCACCTCGGAGCATCAGGGGCTGAACATTTCAAACAGTTTTAGCTATAAAGGTATGCAAAAGATCAGCAGGGTTATTCAAGAGGCGGGGTCAGATTCCTGGATTTGAAACAAAAACAAAGACAAAAAATGAATGTAATGCTTAAAACATTGTCATGTGGCTTTGTTTGAGTGAGCACAATTTGTTTTGCTGATTTTGAGTTCTGTCTAAAATCTACACAATGTTTTTTTTGAAGCAAGTCTTTTTTTTAGATTGTATTGTGTCATTAGGGCTAGATTGTGCCAGTGAGAAACATTTGTACCTTGTACTGTTGATATGTCATTTACTCAGGTTTGTGTGAACATTTCTACCATTTAAAGTAAAAGTGACTTCCCTTTCAACCAATAATGGCCAATTTTAGTGTAATTAACTGTTTAAATGAGACTTGCATCTAGAAGACATGAGTGTGGAATGCAAGTTCAACCTGAATGGCTTTAGGGTGTAGGTCTTCAGGTTTCAAACAAAAACAAAATATGCACTTTTTAATAAGCAATACAAATGTAATAGAAACAACTCAAAAACAATAGAACATATTGTATTATGCAACAATTCTGCAACAAAGAACATTTAGCTAATGCATTTTCACTGTGATCGTCAATACTGTATGTATGTGAAGGTACATCAATTATTATTATCTCTTAATTTTTTTGCAAAAAGTAAGTAATCCAAGTCCAATCTGTGCTGATCTCTCGGACACATCAGTAGAACGGCTGGAGAACATTTCCACCTCAGAACCATAGGGTTAGGGATAGACTTTTAGAGCGTCAGCTCTGGGCTGTAAAGCTGGTGTCTCAGAGCTGAATCTGATACACGTACAATAAAAAGAAGAGGGCAGGAAGGAAGCAATGCTTCTCAACTACCCACAGTTCAGTGTCTCAGGGCCTACCCTTTAGTTACCTGACCTGTTGCACTTGGCCATAAGCAGAGGAAACTGCTGTTAGACATATCATGACATCAGTAGTGAACAAAACAAAAATAATCTGTTATTTTTCTGTGTCCAGTAGTTTAGTCCTAAATTAAGAAAATGATATCCAACCCATGATTTAGGATTCAGATTCAGATTTCTCTATTGTCTATTACAGCCTTTCCCAAACTCAAATAAAAAAAATCCCGCTTTAATTGGTTCGCCAGCATTGCTACACACACACACACACACACACACACACACACACACACACACACACACACACACACACACACACACACACACACACACACACACACACACACACACACACAGAGCTGATGGCTGCGTTGCAAATACAATTTTTTTTTTTTTAATGAAATCATGCAATATAGCATTGTACTGTATATTGAATGATTTAGTGGTCTAAATAAAAATAAAATAAAAATAAAAGATTGTATTTGCAACGCAGCCATCAGCTCTGACGCTATTATAATAAAAAATAATAAAAAAATATTTTATTTTTATTCTGCCTAATTTTCTGCCCTTGATGTTATACATTTACATTAATAATATAATAAAGTAAATACCCTTAGCACCCCGGGCCGGCAACATCTTGTAAAGGTCTCAAACGGTTTGGTCACAATTTATGTAAACAAATATTTCCAAGGCACTCCCATATAATTATTAGGATATACTGTATAAAAACAGCTTTGAAATCATTCCAATGTATACTATAGGATAGTAAACCAAAAATATAGTTTAAAACTGGAGATATAAAAAAATGCATGAATAAATAAATGTTAACTAGGTAAAATAAGATATAACTGAACAACAACAATACAATACGATACATTTATTTGTTATTGATTATGGGTTATTGGTTATGTTCACATACTTATTTGATTATTAAAATGTAAACCGATCTTTTTCATATGGGTGTTTAGAATTGTACCCCCTAGATCTACTCTCTAGTAATTCTGCTCAAAGTGCACCAGATTGAAGCATTTTAAATGTTAAAAAAATATTTGCGGGGGGGGCATACCCCCGGACCCCCCTAAAGGATGTGACGTCCACCCCCCAATTAAAACATGTTCATACAATTATGAATACATTTGAAACCTTCTTTATGTATATAAAGGGGGGGGGGGGGCGATGATTTAACAAACACATTTGATGTTTCGGGACATTCATTTTTAGATCTCATTGTTATTATATCATGTATTCAATATATGATATAATACCCCTTCTAGCATGTCCGATCAGAAAATATTGTAAATATTGTAAATAAGTCAGTAAAGTTAATCAGCTGCCAAGTGTTGGAGTTTCTTTGTCTCTCAGAGTGTTTTACAACGGCTTTGTTCATTTAAAAGTGTTTAAAACATGTACATCGTTTTTAATCTAGTGACAAACTTAATGTTGCACTTTTGATCATTTAAATGTGGTTTCACCTGTGATGTACTGTATATACTTGACTGCACTTCCCATGTTTTGTCATTGCTTTGATCCTTATTTTTTTTGGGCAAGCTCTAAGGGAAAGTTGTTAGGTGTGGGCGCAGTGGAGCCTTGGTGTTGGGATCGGGGGGTCACAGGATCAAACCCCACGGCAGTCAGCATGTCGTTGTGTCCCTGAGACACTTCACCCCAAATTGCTCCTGTGGGGATTGCCCACAGTATTGAGTATGTAAGTCGCTTTGGATAAAAGCATCTAACAAGTAACATGTAATGTAATGTTATGGTGAGAAACCTAATTGCTGCGATGCACTTTTATAATTAAATAAATATTTTCATTTTAAATTCATGGTGTGTTGTATTCTTTGTTTATAAAGGTAGATATTATGGAAAATCATGACATGTTGTGATCTTGGGTCCCGTAGGACCACAACATTTCTGTTTTGGGTCTCATGCTGAAAGAGTTTGGGAACCCCTGGTCTATTACATTTACATAAAATGGAAATTTGTGTTTGGCACTCGCAAATAACACACATTTCACTCAAAATACACAAAGATAATTGCCTCTCAGAGTCTAAAAGTGAATAAGTGGCAGTCATTAAAAAAGTGCTAAGTGGTTTGTTCTTCCACTGGCATGTAGGCCATTAAAATATCACGTCAGAGCATGAATGATACTCAGTAGTGTTAAAATAAACAAATCGCTTATTATAATCAATATGGAACCATTTCTAAAATAGTAGTTCAAAAGTCATTCGTCAAAATCACCACCACGTCTTCACTAGCCAAAGGTTGTGAAAGATCGATAGCCTAACCAGGAGCAATTGCAGGGTCTAATTGTAAAATATTTTGCCTTGTTGTTTCCCTCTTTGAAGTCTTCTCTGCTCTTGTCCTCGGGTGCTGCTTGGCCCTGATTTATGGTGACATGTTCCAAGGGAAGCTACTCTAAATTACATGGCCCTTAAACCTGAGCAGAGAGAGGCACAATCGCCACTCCAGAGACAACTAATTGCTAGGAAAAATCTAACCTGCGCTAGATAAGAGGGTTCCGCTCTTCCCAGACCTGAGAGAAGGGGAAACGTGTCTAACAGATTTGGATAAATGTGTAATTTGTCATGAATGCCCCTGAGTTAATATTGGTGTAACGCCTATTTAGATGAATATCTCTTCATGGCTAATGATGTTAAAAAGAAGCACACATGGTACTGTGTGGAAAAATAAATGATTGTTTACTGATAGAGTTCTTTGTAATGACAGAAATTCAATGGGGTGACTACATTCGAAAACTCTCATGGAAAGTCTCAAGTACAAACAGGTAACTGGAGTACAGGAGGAATCGTGGAATCAAACCTCAGTCAAGGTGTTAAAAGTGTGATGTAAATTGCTATCCAAATAATGAGTATGTTTTGCGTATGTTTAAAAGTGACGTGAAGTGTTGAAACTCTTCTGTAGGCTACGATCCTGTGAGGGATGTGAGGGAGAGTCAGAGTAGGAGGAGGAGGTGACAGTGCCATTTGCCTCGAGGGCGCCCATAAACCTGGAGAGGGAGAGAGAGTGCACCATTCCTCACAGGTGACTGTACCATGTGACTTCAAGAGCATTCAAAACGCAGGCCAACCTGTCTTGTCAAGGTACAAGTAATCACAAGGCACCGGAGGAGTCAGAGGAGGAGGATACCTGGGCTGTCGGCGTAGAAGCAAATACCGACAGCCCCACAAAACAAGTCAGGGAGCAGCAAGGGAGAGCAAACGCCTCGCTACGATACAAGCAGGAAGATCTGTTGACACAATGAGCTGCAGCAGTGTTGAAGGATCGGAGTTCTCTGAAGAAGAGCTGGAGCTTGGCGTGCTGGGTGAGGGGGAGGACGAAGGGAGTCCCAAGGAATCTTTCGAAGACAGCGAGAGCTCTGCCAGCCCTAGTGACCTGGAGGAAGGTCAGACCAAGAAGCGTAATCGACCGGTTCGCTCAAAAGCTCGAAGGATGGCCGCCAACGTCCGTGAGCGGAAACGCATCATGGACTACAACCAGGCGTTCAATGCCCTGCGCGTCACTCTGAACCACGACCTCAGCGGCAAGCGGCTGTCAAAGATCGCCACCCTGCAGAGGGCCATCAACCGCATCTCCGCTCTCTCAGTGTTCCTGAGCTCCAACCCCCCCAGCAAGCCCTGCACCCACCGGGAGTGCAACAGGTCGTCTGCAGGACCTGCTGCCATGGGAGCATCTCGGCATGAGCAGACCCGGGCCCCGGCTCCTCGTCTGGAGCCTCAGAGTTACGTCCCCTGGCACTCGACCATCCCTCACCAGATGCCCCCTCAACAAGGGCCTCCCCTGCACCGGCTGCCCACGGAGCCTCATGTGTACATGGACAATACCGCGTCATCATGTCCCCCGTCACCACACTACCCTTGTTACCCCCCTGAGGGACAGCTTTATGCCTCATATGGACACTGCGGCAGCCCCCACGACCATCCGCTCAGCCCTATGCGATACCCACAGGTGGGCGAGGGTTTGGGGTACCAACCGAGCATGTGGGCCTCCTGCACTCAGAAATACATGGAGACTTTTGTGGAGCCCTCTCCAGCTCTGGGGCTTCCCTGGCAGGTGAGCTACATGCAGGAGCCGGAGCACATCCTCCCTCTGGGTTCTGAAATCCTATAACGGGCTTTATACAGAACCATGAGTCCTGAACACTGCTGATGACACAGCGGACTGACCAATGACCTCAGGGAGAAACGTTCTCTGTTCCTTCTCTTGCATCAACTCAGTATTACAAGAAAATATTATTTTAGAGCAGAGTGATCATAATGTGAGTAACAGATTTATGAAAAGTGCAATGGCAATCGAGACTGCAGAATGTTGTATGCATTGTTTTGATCTAGCATTTCAAAATGTAAAAGAATGTGTCACTGTAAATAATTCTCCTACAGAATTATGTTCGGGATGTTTGATTGTTAATTGTTGTTTGGTCTTCTCCAGAGGCTGAAGAACTTAAAATGATGCTAAATGTGTGATAATAAAGTAAAAGTGAGAATTACCTTAAAGAGCCACAAGTAGACAAACAAACACACATGGGACAGCTTGCATTCTGTGTGTGCGACACTGTTATGTAACTTACACCATGTTTTCTTTCAAGTAAGATGTCTACGATTTGAACCCAACATTCTTGTATTTATACTCTGTATACGTTTAAAATGAATAGATGTTCGTACAGTAAAGGTGTAAAGAGTTTGTATATACTTTTCTAAGCTCCAAAATTAAATGTTTTAATTATATGACTCCTATTCTGTCTCTTTTTATAGTAACACTGTTTGCTAGTAATTGGATTTACAACAACACTTATACAACATTTTCCTTACAAATATGTGTGTGTGTGTGTGTGTGTGTGTGTGTGTGTGTGTGTGTGTGTGTGTGTGTGTGTGTATGTGTGTGTGTCTATGTGTGTCTGTGTGTGTTGATTAAGGCCTAAGGTGAGTAGCCTCTCTCAGAGTCTGAGATGACAGAGGTCCTTCACTCTGTTGAAAAATGTCCTTACAAGTCCATTCTTGCCATTTTACCGGGAGAAGAATAAAGGTGCTATTTACACACAGCAAAATATAAACATGGGGCGACAGGCAAAAAGACAACACTGACTATGTGATATATTTAGCTTTAAAAAATCGAATAACTGATGCAGGGGTATGGAAAGTGCATGCACTGCCTCTTGTATACGCCTAATTGGGTTCAAACAACCTTTGCTTTCTAACAACAGCAAGACGCATCATCCCCAATAATAGGTCAGTGTTTTGTTAGCAGATCAGTAAGAGTAAAACCACAGCTCCCGTCCTCCTGTTCCAGCTCATGTTAGTCAACAACAGCTGCCCTACCCCCTGCTGAGCACTATGTCATGGAAACAGCTTTAATATTAGACTGTGGGTCTGAGCCCACCGACAGATTTATGTGGGCTCAGGAAGGAAGAGTATGCCCCGTCATCAGCGCGGTGAAATCCCCAATCGGGATCCACGGGCCCGCAGGTGGAACTAGGTGTGAGAGTGTTTTGAACCTCCTGGAGGTCTCCCAGCAGGGCCCCCGAGACGCCGTTGAAAACAGTCAGCCTGGGGAGGAGTACTGCAGGCTCAGGGAGGAATAAATGGTGTGGTACGACAACAATTAGCAGGCAGGAAGGAAAGGGAATCTGGACAAAGAGATGAATGGAGAGGAGGAGTGAAATAATAGGAAGGGGAGGGGATGGGACTTCGTTCTTCACAGACGTGAATCACTAGAGAACCTTGACTCACCTGTGAGAGACGAGTGAGGCTGACAGCTCAGTGACGGCATGTCTCTGCCCCCCCCCCACATTTCTGGCACACACATCTCTCACTGCAGTGCCAGTTATCTTGTCTGGGTCCTCATGACACTCCAGAGTGAAAGTGGTCTGATAGTACCGCAATCCTCCTGAGAACACGTGTCTAGTCGCTGGTTTAATAAACAGAAATAAATTCCCACTCCACAACAGGCGAAGATAAGACTGGACCTTTGTTTCCTTAGAAAAAAAAAAGCAAATGTATTTTCAATGGGGACTTTTTAACAAAATAGACGTACATTTTTCAAATTAAATCTGATAATGTAGAAAAAACTTTTAAATAAGTCAAAGTACACAACTAGGCAAACCAACTATAGCTCAGTAGAACAACCATTACATCACAAATGTTATAAATAATAAACAAGTATTCTTTTTCATTAGCAATTCAAACCAAAGTAAAATAATCTTTTCTTAACAGATTAAAAAAACTATATAAATCATTGATACTAATATATAGGTTTATAGTACATTATATTATGATCTGTATGATGATATTTTGTGTGTGTGTGTTTTCTTTACCTTGTTTTATTATTTAGGCCCCTGTACATGACTTTGACTAAAATATTATTTTTTTATTTGGGCGACTGTGGCTGTGAGGGAGTGTGGTCGTCTTTCAACCAGAAGGTTGTGGGTTCGATCCCAGCCCATGCAGTCAACATGTCGATGTATCCTTGGGCAAGATACTTAACCCTGAGTTGCTCCCGATGGCATGGCCAACGGTGTGTGAATGTGTGTGAATGTTAGGTCCTAGAGTAAGGTACACTGCTCTGTATGAATGGGTGTGAATGGGTGAATGACATGTAGTATGTAAAGCGCTTTGAGGGGTCTTAAAGACTGGATAAAGCGCTATATAAGTACAGTCCATTTACCATTTACCATTTATACGTTTTGAAACGTATTTATCATAAAGATTGTGATTGAGGTCCAATTTGTTGAATAAAATAAACGTGATCATTAAAATAAGAGGTTTTATCACCACCTAGATTTGTAGGGAATGTCACCTAAGATATGTTTGATGTCAAAGTTTGATGGTGAAACAGAGAACAAACAATTAGTTGAACAAGCAATTCCTCAATTCATAGAAAATACCAAACACTTCTTGGTTTAGAAATCTTAAAATATAAGGATTTGATGACTTTTATTTTCTTACATTATGGGTTTTGGACTGTTTACTTGACATCTTTACTTGGCAAAGTGCAAGATTCTTTCAAATGTTCTGATATTTTATAGTCAAAATGGAAATAACTGACAAATAAATCAGTAATGAAAATAATAATTAGTTGGAGCCCTACAGTAAAATGTATCAAGACAGTGCATGTGTTGGTTGTTTACCAAAATCAGTGAGTCATGTGATTATCCAACACCTTTGTCGATAAAGTGCTTTAACGTGTCAACTTTCCTGTTGCATGGTGACTCACCAAAGGGTTTACCTCACTTCTCCGCCATGTGAATCTGTCAGTGATGCATCTTTTATTCAGACTGTTTGGCCTCCTCGACAGACTCCGCGGCCAAGATGATGGAAAAGAAAACAAGCAAACATGAGAGCAATGATTCCAAGACACAGGGGTGTGTTTGCGTGATATATGGGGATGAGTCACGGCGTAGATGTTGATGCTGTACACTACATACACCCCCTTTACACACACACACACACACACACACACTCACACACACTCTCAAACTCTCTCTCTCTCTCTCTCTCACACACAGACACACA